ATAGGTCTCTATCTTCATCTAAGACCTTAGCGTCATCCGAAACGCTGTTAAAATTGGAAATGTAAAAAAATCTTGCATTTTCTGAAGAAAAACAATCACAGATCTATTTGAGTTTCTCGTTAAGTCCTGGCAATATTGTTTTATTTTTTTATCGTCTTGATAATACCTTTCTGCTGAGCTGGGTTTCATTTTCTTGTTCTTTTTTATTTTGCAGCTTTTTCGTTTTAACAAGGAACGCGGTTTTACCTCTTTGAACAACGACTAAGGTCACAAAAGCTGTATCGATACATGGTGTCATGACACGATAGGTTTGTTGATAGAATGTCATGAGATACATTTGATACAATTGATCGACACTTGTCATGACAATACGTCTTACGACGCCATAAAAAAGATTAATCACCACACACCCAAGGTATGTTAAACCTTTCGCGAACATCTGCCCTCACTCATTCATCAGTGAGCCGTTCAAATATTTTTAACCGTTATGTTGGCTTTTACGCCCAATGGAATCTGTTTCGACGTATAATCGAGACTGGTTATTCTCTGGCCTTGACGTTTGATATTAAAGTAATCTATCAGATGTCTTTGTTGTACCAAATGTTTTTGATTTTAAACGTTTTATAGCTTTCACAGTATATATACGAAGTAAAAAGATGCTTCGGTGAATCGTTCCGAACAAAGTAGTATTATTTATGGGTGATCCATTTGATTTTTTAACGAGTATACGATTACAACTCCCACTAACGTACCGACCTCGACTGAACTAAGTACGCAAAAGTCTCTTAAGACAGTGGAGAAAACAGTAAGTAATTAAAGATATACTTTTTCAAGATTTCCAAACACAATACAACTGAACATTTCGAGATACGACATCCCTGCCTAATACTACTAAACTGACGGTCAAAAGAAAATATACCAAGTTGTTTTTTTAAGTGATAGAAAATTGAAATAACTGTTGTTAAATTTGATTATGTCTATTTAACCATCACTCATTCCTGCAACAGTTTGTAAAAAGTGTGGCTGACCAATTTTGTGTAAAAAAGAAATTGGTTCAATGAAGACTGGGGTAAAAAAACACATTTGAAACCACATGACCCCCACCATGTTTGAAATGTTGTAAATTTGACCCGCAAAAAGCAAATTTATTGATTTTCAGTGCCTAAGATACCCTTCAGCAGTAGTGTATAATGTGATCTAAAAAAGAAAAATTATAAATGTTTTAAATCCAATTATATTTTAAACAGTAAAACCATGTAGAAATATTCTTTGAGTGCTGATAAAGGGCTAGTACAGCTGATTAAAAAAATATAAAATATTTTCATTTGTAAATCAAACATGTGAAAAAAAGGTGAGAGGTATAGTTTCCTTCGCCTCTCAGTTTATTTTGTTAAATTCCATGCTGTTAAAAATTAACTGAATTTAATTTATCACACAAAGTTTAGGTAATTCCACAAAATCAACCTTCTGCATAAACGTTTTTCACGTCTATTGTTTACAATCAACTTCAATCCAAAACCATATTACTTCATTCAAGAACATGTATCCCCGGCTTATACGCCGATGTTTGAAGGGGAGCGTTGTCAATGTTGTAGCTTTTGACCACTGCGCTCGTCCTTGAGCACCGACAAGGAAAAACACATTCTCACCAAAATCAATACCGACTTAAAACAGAAAATCCCCGGTGTTTTCTAAATTAACCAACGCCACCTCGTCAGCGAAACGGGTCTAGATTCCAGGTAAAATACGAAAGCAGCGTCGTATCCAATTATACTTTAATCCCTCAAATTGCAGAGACATTTAACTCCATAAAACACTCATCTCCACCACTGCCAGCTGTGGTCAACCTCAACGACACCCATCCGCGACCCCTAACATTCTAAATGAACAGAAAATCCCCAAAAGTTGAATTACTTTTAAAACGATGTTTTTACGGCAAAATATTTTCAAAACTTTTATTAACTTTTAAGAAGGTAGAATTGGGGTATTTTTCAGTGCGCGAAACGCTGTTTAAATGGCTTTTGTTATAAGCCGTCATTCATCCTTTTAAATCCCCGTGGTGATTCCGCAACAGAATAGTTCCTCAAACTCCTCCGCTCGCCGTGTTTGTTGTGAGTGAGTGAGTGAGCGAGTGTGGTTTTAGGTCGCTTTAAGCAATGTTCCAGCAATATCACGGCGGGGGACACCAGAAAATGGGCTTCACACATTGTACCCATGTCGGGAAACGAACCCGGGTGTTCGGCGTGAAGAGCGAACGCTTTAACCACTAGGCTACCCGACCGCCCCGTTGTTGTAAGAACCTACTTATATTAAGACTGATCACAATTTGTCTTTTCGATAACTAAGGGTAACTGTACCCCGAAAGTGTGGAACATTCCTCATGCTATCAATCACTGGTTTACTTGGTCCTTACACGATTATTTGCAGACTCGGTTCATCAAAAAGTATTTATCCTCATCAGCTGTTGTCACCACTGTTGGCTGCATCACTTAGCGCTGCTTCAGTGTTTCGGGGGATTCATGCTTCAGCTGTTGGTGTATGGCTGTTAGTGGCATTGTTTGTTTGTTTGTTTGTTTGTTGTCTGACGCCGCAGTCAGCAGTATTCCAGCTATATCACGACGGCCTCCGGCTGGGTGAGGTGAGGTGAAATGGGGTTGAGCCAGACAGGGCAACAAAAAGTACCATCTTTTAACGTCTTTTGGTATGACGCGGCCGGGGATCGAACCCTGGATCTTCTGCTCTCCGGGCGGACGCTCAATTTGAGGCTTGGACAAACTAAGCGGTTTGTTGATACGAACAATATCCAACGCTGTTGGGGCACGATGACTTACAATCAACCAGGTTACGTATTGAAATCAACCTGACCTGAAATTGGTGAGGTGAGGTGAGGTGAGGTGAGGTGAGGTGAGGTGAGGTGAGGTGAGGTGAGATGAGACATCGCGTTCAAGATCATTGCACGTATACAGCCACGTGTATGCTACCCCACTGAGATCGATACCAAGTCGCAGTTCAACATAAATACAGTAGTGAGATAGGCAGTGTGCAAAACATGAATAGACCCCCTTGTAAAACTAAACTCATGGGCAAACGAAAGTATTAACTTTTTACATTGATTTTTCCCCTAAAACTATCAAAGTGAGAAAAATGATAAAAGGCTTAAAACAGTTGCCAAAGAACTGCACAATCAATCTCCAAAACGCAACGCTTTGGCCGTAAAGATCCACGTGCAGTGGCCAAAATTCACCCAACAGCTTTTCCAGGTATTCGTAAAATTGCACGTGCTGCATTTGTATTAAAAGGCGATGACCCGTTGCTAAGACATCACATGTAATAAAAAAAAAGATATGCCACGGTTAACTGCGGGACAAAGAGGGAGAGCCATAGGTATGGAGCAGATGGAAGCCAACCACACTCAGATTGCAAGAAACCTAAAATGTACACGGGCAACGGTCGTCAGACTGTTTCAACGCTTCAGACAGACTCGCAGGACACAGGCAGACCAAGATCGGGCAGACCACGAGTGACAACGCAACAGGAAGATCGGCATTTGCGCACGTACCATCTGCGCAACAGGTTCGTCAAGGCGACGGAAACGGCAGCAACGGCGTTAGGACACCTAACGACGCACGGTGCTACTACGTCTACATTTACGTGACGCAGGTATTAGAGCTCGCCGTCCCTTCCTTGGAATGGCATTGACCCGGAAACATCGACGTCGAAGACTGCAATGGGCCAGGACAGTAGGACGTTGGCATGTCCGTGATTGGCAGAGAGTGCTTTTCTTTGACGAAAGCAGGTTTCAGCTGTTTCACAATGATGGTGGAGCTCGAGCGTTTGGTGCCAGGCTGCATTCAAGAAGTTCATTCCTATGGTGGAGGTGGTGTGATGGTTTGGGATGGAATTTGTGGTAACCTCAACGGCCAGCGATACAGAGATGATGTTCTCCAACCAGTGGTTCTTCCATTCCTTTGCCAACAGCAACAGGGAACAGCCCTGCAGCATGACAACGCTAGACACACACTGCAAGGCTCGTTCATAACTTCTTGAATACGAACAACGTCAACGTTCTTCCGTGGCCAGCACTCTCACCTGACTTGAATCCAATGGAACACTTGTGGGATGATCCGAAGACGTCCACACCCACAAGCAAACCAGCAACAGCTTGCCGACGCCTTAAGAATTGAATGGAATTGGATTCCCGAGTACGGCTGTCAACATCAATGAGGTGACGAATCTGGGCGTGCATTGGTGCTCACGGTGGTCATACTCGTTACCCAGCGTACCAGGTATCCGTTGAAGACTACAAACGTATCAAGACAGTACCTGATTGATCATTCCTGTGAACTGTGATCTGCCTACCCCCATGTTAGTAAACGCCATGTACACGTCGCCTGTTTTGAGTTTCGCACTGAAATTGTGCATGGACTATCGCATGTGACCCTTTGAGCGAATACACCATCATTGAATAACATTCGCTTATTTTTTATTTATTTATTGTATTGACCATTAAACAATGGTGTATACTTTATTAATAAGCCACTAGTTTATGTGTTTATGTGTCCTTTGATATTATGGCTGAATTCCACTACTACTACTACTACTACTACTACTACTACTACTACTACTACTACTATTACCACTGACCCAATCTTGGACGCGACGTTAAACCCCATTTCACCTCACCTCACTACAACTGACCCGTGGAGACCTTGGGTAGAATAGGTCTTCAGCGACCCATGATTGCCGTAAGAGGCGACTATGCTTGTCGTAAAAGGCGACTAACGGGATCGGGTGGTCAGGCTTGCTGACTTGGTTGATAAATGTCATCGATGCTCATGATATCGGTCACTAGATTGTCTGGTCCAGACAAGATTTTTTTCAGACCGCCGTCATATAGCTGGCATGTATCTTAGTGCGGCGTTAAACAACAAACTACTACTACTACTACTACTACTACTACTACTACTACTACCGCTACTACTACTACTACTTTACCGTACCACAACTGTGCCTGTAACACTTTTTGCTGGGGAGGCGCGGGGGTGACAATGTGGGTCAAACTTGGTGATGGGTGACGGCGGAACCGAAGACTCGTCATCATCCGGGCGTGTGCTGGTGCTACTTCCGCCCGATCTGGTCCTGCGCACAGACGACCTTTTGCCGCTTCCGCGGTTCTTCCTGACCAACGTACCGCTTCTCGTCAGCATTGACATGCTGAACAGCTACATCACGGGGACGATGGCAAGATGTAGACACTGCTCATCTGTGGAAATAAAAAAAAGTTAAAGAAAAGCAACAGAATTCTTTTCATAATCATCAGACATCTCTTCTACACTTTGTACACTTTCGATAATGTGTTTATGATTCACACTAGTGACACCATCACAAACACATGCAAAGGCAAGTCAAATGTTCACCTGAAACAAAAATATTGTACAAGTCAAAATAGGGAATTGCATCGGACATCATTTATGTCACTGATGCGTCAAATTTGGAAATGTCGTCCATATGTCTGCTATAAAACGTTTTGAAAGCTTTACTGAGGCCTTGAATGTTGCAACCTTGATGAAACAACTTTTCAGCGTATGACATTCTTTGAGAGAGGGATATAATTTTAACACCAGGGCGTGCTGTTGTATTTTTTGTTTGTTTAAATGTATTAAGGTATAAAGTAGACCTATTTCATTACGATTTGTTTTACACTTCACTGATTTAACGTGCATTACGGGTGACATATAATGGTCATGGCAGATTTGCCTCCTTTGGCCGTGCCAGGATCCGATGCTCCGATTTTCTCCGATACCTTATCAGTACCATACACATCCCTTGGGGCTCTCCGCCCACATGAAGCTGACACGCCGTGATATAATTGGAATACTGTTCACAGTGGCGTTAAATAAACCTCACTTACTCATTATGGAGAGAGAAAATACATTCCTATAATTAATAAACCACAAATAGCCAGGGAAAAAATGGAATCAGAAATGCTTCACCTTAATGTTAAAACTTAAAATAAAATAGGAACAGACAACCTTTTCTTGTTCAGACATGTATTGTTTATATTGCTTATTTAAGAAATAAACGACGAGTTAGAGTTGATTAACGTGTTGAACGTGACGTCACCTATCCCTATCCTATGACGTTACCTAGCAACGGGCGTGATAATGGCCCGTCGTCAAACAGTATGAAGGCATTATCAAGTTACAGTTGCCCGCTCATTTCTGATAACATGCGGGCGGTTTTATAATAATTCTATCCATTTTAGCTATAATGTACGATAAATAATTCCCACTCGTCGTTTATTTCTTAAATTTATTATGTTTCAATCGTTATCGTTATATTTACATACAGTTAACTACGGTTATAACGAAATCTAAGGGACCTCTAATTTTAGTTCGTTATAACCGTAGTTCGTTATAAGCATATATACAGCATAACTTCAGCAAATAGTCGGGACAAAAAAGTAAGTTCGTTATATCCGTCAGTTCGTTATAAGCGTGTTCGTAATAAACGTAGTTTACTGTACATCTCTGTTATAAACGATTGGACACTTTACTCATTAAGGGTCGTAGTAAGTTTACATTTAAACATCTCAGACTTTGCTAAGTGTACTTTTGTATTGTGGTTTTCTCCCCCGTGGATGATGATATAATAGCTTACTATTGATCCACCTAAAGAATATGGTTCATTCAATAGACACTGACGGTTAATATGATTCAAGTGAAATGACCCACAACAATAAAAGATTGTGTGAGGACATGTTAAGAAAACAGGAGACAAGTAGACGATGCTTGTCCACAATATGGTATAAAAGCAGACACAATTGACGGTGAGGTGAGGTGGGTTTAATGTCGCGTCCAAGATTATTGCACTTATATAGCGACGTACATGCACGTCTGTGTGTGTGTGGCTGCTTGTACTAGTCCGGACTGATGCCGATTTATAGTGCAAGCACACTGAGATACCATGCCGCAGTTTAACATGAATACCCCACTCAGACACAGTATACTGGCTCCGAGCCGACCAGTCCTTGTTTTAGCCCCTTAATGCCGAGCGCCAGACAGGGTAACAACAAGTACCATCTTTTAACGTCTTTTTGTATCGAACCCCGGACCTTCCGCTCTCCGGGCGGACGCTCTACCACTAGACCACGGAGGCGGTCCACAATTGACGGAAATGTATGGCAGTCTGGACATTCACTGGGCAGCTAGGATGACGTTATATTTGTTGAGTACATCGGTGCCACAATCCTGTTTTGTTTCGCTGCCCGGGTATAACTTATTGGGCTATGAGAAAAGGTATAGTCACGAATTTCTACAATGCATATACCTGCATATACGTTTCGGATCACCACAGACCTTGATCTTGTCTGTGTGTCATGTCAGTGTATATGTTATTGTCCTTGGTGGGTTTATTGCAGCTGTATTAAATCAAAATGTTTATCATTAGTTTATCATTAGTTATTGATTACCCACATTGATAGATATACCATTGATTTTCTCACAGGACACTAATTACAAGGTCACGACATTGGCAGGAAACAGGTAGCCTGATAGTCCTTATTGTCTTTGAATCAAATTCTTCCTAGCATTAAATGGACATATTGCATAGTGTGTCAAACAAGGGTTGAAGTTCGTGAGATTAAGGATATGGCTTCTCTACAAATCTCTGATCAGTGCATTTTGAATGTGTATGATATTGACGGTTTATTGTTCAATGTTGCTAGAGATATTTGGTTTCTGTTTTCTTTCTTTCACATTGAGCTGATACGGTGTAAAATAACTGATACACTGTTAAAGAGACGTTAATCCCGTTCACTTAGTTTGATCAAAAAGTATGTTTATGCTTAATGTAGTATGTGGTTCAGGTGATCAAACCATTGGATGACATTTCATACACTCTAACACCGGGGGGAGGAGTGTGTGTGTGGTGTGTGTGTGTGTGTGTGTGTGTGTGTGTGTGTGTGTGTGTGTGTGTGCGTGCGTGTGTATGTGTGTGTGTGTGCGTGTGTGTGCGTGTGTATGTGTGTGTGTGTGCGTGTGTGTGTGTGTGTGTGTGTGTGTGTGTGCGTGCGTGTGTGTGTGTGTGTGTGTGCGTGTGTGTGTGTGTGTGTGTGTGTGCGTGCGTGCGTGTGTATGTGTGTGTGTGTGCGTGTGTGTGTGTGTGTGTGTGTGTGTGTGTGTGTGTGTGTATGTGTGTGTGTGTGCGTGTGTGTGTGTGTGTGTGTGTGTGTGTGTGTGTGTGTGTGTGTCCCAGTCACTTTAAGGCGCCACAATTCGCCGTGAAAACAGTTGCGGCCATTGGTCACGCCAGACATCTATAGTCGTGGGTTAGAATCCAAAGTAATGAACATCTGAGACCTGCATCACTTCAAGCTTTCCTCCCACACTAAGCTGACACATCGTGATATAACTGGAACACAGTTCAAAGCGGTGTTAAACCAAACTCATTCACTCACCGTCATACACTTTGAAGGAGTGTCTTATTTTGTGCCCTAAAGCTTTTCACACACATTTGTGAGGATACAAGAACAATATTTCCTCTGCCGCCCCCGCTAAACCAAATGTCTGGTAAGAAATCAAAGTATTGCGAATAAATCCTAACACCATGTCACCATCGAACGGAAGACGCGTGCATTTAATATCAAATATAGTGGCAAGTACTTTCTTCTAGTTTTCAAGACCGCCTCCGTGGTCTAGTGGTAGAGCGTCCGCCCGGAGAGCCGCGTCATACCAAAAGACGTTAAAAGATGGTACTTGTTCTTACCCTGTCTGGCGCTCGGCATTAAGTGGCTAAAACAAGAACTGGTCGGCTCGGAGTCAGTATACTGTGTCTGAGCTGGGTATTCACGTTAAACTGCGGCATGGTATCTAATTGAGCTAGCACTATAAATCGGCATCAGTCCGGACTAGTACAAGCAGCCACACACACACACACACACACACGTGCATGCATGTCGCTATATAAGTGCAATAATCTTGGACGCGACGTTAAACCCAATTTCATCTCACCTCACCTCTAGTTTTCAAAGAGGAACGAGGCAACTGCCTGTTTATATTCAATGCCGTTTAGCAGTGTAAATACAGCATTTTTTTAAATCCGAATATTGATTCTAAATTCTATTTCCATATAACGACAACACAGTAATGCAGTGTTGACATATTAAAATTCAAAATGACTGTAAGAAAAGACCCATTAATGGATATTAATCTACAAATGTTCTTGATGGCTACGTTAATCAATATGCTCTATCTTTAATCTGTTTTATACTGATTCAGTTGAACCATAAACCAGATGAACTTTGTGTGTGAAAAAAAATATTATGGATTTGTTGGAGAAGCTTACCAAACGAAATCCAATTTGTACTTATTTCGGGGACAGCAGCTGATTGCCTTTGGAAATGATAATGACAAACATAAAAACATTCAGCAAACAATAACTTCCTATCCCTTCGGCAAGTAAACTGTGATAGTACACCGGTTCTGAAGCAGTAGGGCAACGGAGGATAGGAAGTGATGATGTTGATGGATTTCAATATGATGAGGGTATGGCACAAGACAAGTCGGAAAAATAGCCAACAGATTGTCATTACCAATAACGATATTCACTTGAACAACAGAGGTGAGGGGTTTAACTTCGTGTTCAAGATTAATTCCCTTAGATAGCAATTTGCATGCATCTATGTGTGTGTGTGTGTGTGTGTGTGTGTGTGTGTGTGTGTGTGTGTGTGTGTGTGTGTCTGTGTGCGCGCGGCCGCTTGCACTAGTCCTGACTGATGCCGGTTTTAAAGTGAGTGAGTGAGTGAGTGAGTATGTTTTTACGCCGCTTTTAGCAATATTCCAGCAATATCAAGGCGGGGAACACCAGAAATGGGCTTCACACATTGTACCCATGTCGGGAATCGAACCCGGGTCTACGTCGTGACGAGCGAACGCTTTAACCACTAGGCTACCCGACCGCCCCGGTTTTAAAGTACAAGCCCATTGAGATACCATGCCGCAAGTTAGAATTGAAGCCACAGTATACTCCGAGCCTACAAGTCCCCGTGTTATACCTTTAATGCGAGCCCCAAACAGGTTAACAGTACCATATTTTGTTTTTCGGTATAAACAACTTTGTTGCCGTATCTGATGTTTCTTGAAAGCACGTTTGAGATTCCTGTGTCGGTACAAGTCGTAAGCAATGCCACACTGAGTTTTTAAGTTGAATTGCATCTGTCCATATCGACCCTCGTGGGCGTTGCGGACATGAGATGTCTCTAGT